AAATTCTCAACTCACATGGTATTAAACAGCCTCCGGTACTCGTCGTCGCCTTTGTTATCGCTGATCAGTATATCCAGCTTATCGATTAATTCGCACTCGACCTGCCTAAAGTTGCCTCTGGCTCTTTGCTCGCACTCCATCATGTCAAAGAATATATGCAGGGTTGCTTTGCGCAGCTCTATCTCAGGTACTAGAGTCACTTCCAAAAAGGGGCCCACCATCACCACCACCAAACTATGGAACACGCTATACAAGTCCCGCTTAAAACTGTCCTCGAAATGACCGCCGGTCGCTCTGGAGAAGAGCAATCGACTCTGTATGATCAGCTTGAAGATATATTCCAGGCTTTTGAAGCACTTTTGGATTGGCTCCTGTTTTTCGAAYGAAACCACCCAATCGGCGCAATGTTGCACACTTGTAAGAAGGCCCCTGAAAGAGCAGCGTCTATGGAAAACTGKAGAAAACGCTTTATTTACTTACTTGTAGACCAATGCGGCCGCAAAGTGATTCTTGATGTAGGCGTCTAAAACAGGCTTGAAGTGTTGATATTTGCTGCCGTCGAGCAAGTTGAAGATAGAGACCAGTACGTGAAACACCAGTCCGCTGTGGGGCGTCGAGTTGCCATCTTCGGTGGAAAACAGGGCGAAGAGTGCATCGAGCACGTCTTGAAGAAATTTGATTAGTTCCTCATCGCCTAACTTTAGCACTCTTTGTAGGGACTCTTGTATCCTCTCCGGGTGGGATTTCCATCGAAGCAACGCCAGCAAATCGACTGGAAGTTGCAATTATCAGTATTAGCTTAGGGTGGGCTGTGCGTCGAACAGCGTACCATTCTGGGTGAGCTTGGTTGAGCACAGCAAAGTCTTGATGGAAATCAGTTCCTTGTGGCTTCTGGAGAACTGTCCGCTCGCTTCGTGGTTTCCTTCATAGTCCTTGGAGAAGGCCGGCAAAGCCAAATAGCCACAATTCTCCAATTTGGACACATCTTCGCACTTGTAGATGTACAGCTCGTGTTGGCCGTCTTGCACTGCGGCTCCATCCTTATCCATCAGGCGCATGAAGGAAAAGCCGAACAGTTTTTTGTCGTTCTTTTCGCGAGCTAAACCAAGGCGAGATTAGAGCTTAATCGGGTAAGAGTTTGGAAAGCGGACTCACTGGAGCAATGCCGGTACTCCAGTCGAATGTGGGCGCCGGCAAATTTGTCGATCGGCAATGTTAGTCGAATGTTTTCCGCCCAAGCTGGGGAATTGTGGTGGTAGATGATCATTGAATTGTATTCGGACACGCCTTCAATGCCGGAGGCTCCCCACAAACAGTTCTGCAATCCGATGGGAAATAGACAGTAAGTAACTCCTGCAGGTTGTTCCGGGTGGTACCTTAACAACGTTTTTTTCGCCGTCCAAGACCACAACGGCCACTTCGATGTTTTTTCCTGTGGACTTTCCTCCCCGTTCAAATTCCCCTTTGTCTAGGATTAGATATAGGTCGTTCCTGACGTCTCCTGGCATGATTACATCGGGAAAACCTGCGAATAGCATCCTCACTGCAATTAGTTTAATGGTGTCTAAACTAACACATACCTAGTTTGCTGGTCAAACTGACGTTCTTGAACAGCAGAGGATTCTCCTCTCGGATTGTGCGCAATTCTCCATGCAACATCTTCAACGAAATCATAATCCCGTAGTTTATTGGCCCGGACAACACGGACACTTTTCCCGACTGTCTGATGATGAACTCGTGCAGCTGGTGGAAGTCTTTGTCTTCCCCTTGGTACACCTATTTTCCAATATTTTTAGTGTATATACTTTCCTGACTGTGTTTCAATTCCAAATCAAAATTAATTCCTGGCTTTCAGTCATTTATTGTCTTTATTTATCAATTAAAATACGTTTCGGTGTATTTTTCCACCATCATCAGTTTTTACGTGTA